GAAGTTGCCCTCCCAAGCTTTCTCTACCAACAGAAATAGTGGCCTCTTAGGGACCATCTCAAACCACCCCACTCCTCCAAGTCTGAAAAGGCAACTAAAAGCCCAGTGGATTTTCTTTGCAGAAAGCCCCAAGAACAGGATCAACATTCCAGAATGATGTTATAATTTTGGGAAACTGCATTAGCATGAGGAAAGAGAAGAGACATTGGCAAAACATATTCTCGTTATGAAACAAGGCAACAGAACACATTGCAAATTACTTGGGATCAACCAAGAGATTCCAAGTAGGCAGTTTTCTAGGGTGAGGTAGGTGGTGATGCAACGTAGGTATGCCATGTAGGGCTCATATGACCACTGCTAAGATTATTGGGGGGGGGGTCTTTTTGCCCAGGTGGTTGACCTTGGCTGACCTCAAAAAGAAGTGCAAGAAATTCAGAGCAATGAGCTAAAGAGGAACTTAATTCCCTAAAGAAGGCAATATAAGAAGTAATTTTCATATTATTGCCAAGTAATCTACATACATCTTAACTGTTGACTTTGGTTTCAAGGAAGTCATTGTTTCTCTGCATTTTAATTGTTTCATGGTCATTTTAGGGCATGTGGTGCTCTTGTGTAGTTCCTTTCTCCACATGGCCAATTTTCAACACTTGTGAACCCAACACCTAACAGCAAACTCAGAGAACTCTCCAAGGCTAGGAAGAGAAAACTTGGAGAAAACACACATCTCCAAGGTCAGACGTTGATATACAGAATTGCACACAGAAACCATATTTTCTAGTTGGACCTGAGAAAGTTATTAAAAATATACTAGTGCCTATCACACAATAATAGATTGTTTTTCTTTGAAATCCTTAAGAAATATGACAGTTTAGTTCAGGAGGAAAACTGGGTATAACTCTGGAGCTAAATTAGATACCTTTTTTCCCTTTCTTCCTGTTCTTCATGGTTGCTAAGGAGGAAAAGTAAGCAGTGGGAACTAGCACGGAATGTCCTAGAAGAGGGCACAGCTGGCAAATTGGCTGGCACCAGGATCAGTTCTTTATTGTGTTTTCTTGCAAAGAGAGGTGCAAAAAGCCCTTCCATCTCTGGAAGAAGTTTTTTAATTTTCTGCTTTTCAGTTCTCATGGGTTGAGACAAAGTTACTGGAAGGAAGACATGAGGCACTTCTAATCTTCGCTAATAGCTGTGCCTAATAATTATTTGATATGTTGTTTGTAAAGCACCTCAAAGATGAGTACGCTTTATGGGAGGCCTGATTTTTTGCACATAGGCATGCAAACTAGGATCAAGTGAAGCTGAAAGGAAATTATTGACAGGAAGGGAAGAGGGCTTTTTTTAATCTGCTTTAATTTATTTTATTCTTCCCACATCCCAACATCTTTAAAAAAAATGACTTAAGGGGATTTTGAGAAAAAGTTGATGAGTCAGTGGCAGCTTTCTTTCAAATAAAAAAGAACCCGGCTCCTACAGCATTTCATATCACTTTGAAATAAAGATGACCTCTTTGTTGCATATACACGCATATTCATGCATATTAGTGCTCATTATGAACATGGCTGCCCTGATATGCAAACTGGCTTCCTCATTTGAGAGATTTTGATGCTTTTATATGTACCAGGTAAGTGCTAAACTTGCATGCCAAGTCAAACATAAAATTTTATTTAAATGTAATTTCAATTCTACTGTTTTTGCATACTTGACTGTCTTCAGTTCCAGATACCACAGTGAAAGTGCGATCTGATAAAACTATGTCATGCATCATGCCAAGCTATCGTGTGTTTAGTTTGGGCCCAGCATGTTATATGAATCCAGCCAGTATCAGCTCTTCAACAAACCCCAACTAGGGAAATAATGATTTAGTGAATTGTGGGAAGAACAGTGAGAGATGGGAGAAAGAGATGCTGCTAAGAGCAGGGGTCACCAACCTTTTGGACCTCAGGGACCACCAAACTCATAATTTTAGATCCCAGGGACCATTAACCGGTTCTGTGGGCGTAGCCGAATTTGTGGGTGTGGCTTGGTGGTCGTGTGACTGGCTGGGCATGGCTTGTATGTAAATATTATAAATATTTATATAAATATTGAATTTTTTATAAAAAAGAGCAACTTTTACCCAAAATCAGGCAAAGCAGGCAAATTGAGTTGCTCACCGAATCACAGATTCATTCAGAGATCTATCTGCCATTGGCTAGCTCAATCTGTCACATAAAATTTGCTTGCAAGCAAACTCATAAAATTTGCTAGCAAACAAACTCACAAAATTAACTCACAACACACCATGCATGTAAATATTGAATTTTTTATTTTTATTTTAAAAAACATTTAAAAACATTTACCCAAAATTAGGCAAAGCAGGCAGATTGAGTTGCTCACAGAATCATCAGTGATCTATCTATCTGCCATCGGCTAGCTCAATCTCTCAAATTTGCTTGCCGTGAGTCTGCACTGAATTTGCTTGCAAGCAAACCTTCAGTCCTAAGGGAGGTTCGGCTGTGCTGAGCTGAAGGTCTAAAGACTAGCTAGAAAGCAAGAAATCCAACCATTTCCTGCTTCCTAGCTAATCTAAATCTCCTGGCACAGCAGAACACCTGATGGTCGGAAAAAGGAAAAATAGCAATTTAGCAGGCAAGTTTACAGGGTAAGGAGTGAGTTGGCGGGGAGGGTTCCCGCGGGCCATGTGGGCTGAGCAGCCTTGTGTTTCTGCATAGCCTGGATTAATTGCTTTGTGGGGGTGCTCTGGGGGTGAGATTTCTCTGCGGCCCACCAAAATTTTCTCATGGCCCACCAGTTGGTAACCGCTGGCTTAGAGAACAGTGAGATAACTGGGGGAGCCCACAGCTGCATAACAGGCAAAGAAAAACTGAGAAGGGATCCCTGCCTAACAAATCAGGTTGCAGAAAGAGATGGTGGCAGTTTTGTACTTTCAGACTCACAAGATTCTGTTAATATAACCTCACAATAAGATAGATCTGTTTCCTGTCTGGTCTACCTGAAAAGTGAGGAATAAAGAAATCTCCATCACATAAGCTTCTCACTGCCCCTATGAAGGGACAGTGACATAAGTTTTCATTTTTGCCAAGAGTGAATCTAACTGGATTTGGCCAGGTTACAAAAAGAAATATAACAACGTTCATATAACTATAGCAGTTTCTTACGTTTCTTCCATGGCCAAGCTGTGCTGATGATGATTCCTTAACCTTCTGATACATTTACCATTCTACCCAGTTACATCTTGATACTGTTAACTATAGATACACAGATGGAATCTGATTTACTGTCACCAGCGTCCATTCCAGACATGAGGCCAGTTTTCTTCTTCAAAAACCTTGTTTTCTCTGTTGCAGGAATGCATTTTGCCTCAGCTCACAGCAATTTCCTAGTTTACTGCTATTAAAGGAAGGGCTGAGCCAAATTCTGATTTATGAAACACCTGCTAAATTCATTAAAAACCTTAAAAGATTTAGTGCATTTTATCAAGGCTTTAAATCTAGGCAAGTGTTTAAAAACTTAATGCTTTGTATATTTCATCCAAAACACCCTTTTAATGTTTGGCTTGGAGCTAAACATTTGGATGGATAAATACTGTATTGCTGATATTTCATTACTTGGTTTTATAAGTTGGCATAGAATTCTTTGGACAGGTTTGTTCTATACATGTACATAGTGATTGTTATAAAGTGGAGATGAAATTATTCTCCTTTGGTGATATTTTAGATGAGTTTTTCTCTTTATGCTTCTGTGGATAGTCTTTTCAGAAGTTACAATAATTTGGAGAATCAGATTTATAGAACTGGGAATAATACAAGAGCTTATGCATTTTTCTTACATACTTTAGTGGTTTTAATTTGGTGAAGTAAGCTTAGAAAACTTCCTAAATCTCAAAAGCAGTCTGAACGAGGCCAGCATTTAACAGTTTGTTGATTTTGAAACCACTACAAACTATAATGGCTGCTAATCTAGACACCAAAGGTAAAGTTCTAATGAAAGGGAATTTCTTTTTTCACAAAATCAGATCAGGACTGAAAATAAGAAATACCCATTCCAGATGTTTCTAACTGTGTCATCTGGAATGCTAAGTGTTGCAATTCAGTAACATCTGCAAATAGTCATGCTTTGGTTAATTTATTATAAAAATAAATATTTTTAAGTTATTGACTATCAACCTGATTAAATCTTAATTATCTTATTCATACATGTTCAAATGAAACCAGCTAATTATAACCAGTATAACTAAGTTATACTGAGGATATCAACACTGGCTGGATTTATACAATTCAGAAAGTATAATTTAAAAATAACAATGACACAGTAAGGTAAAAACGAACCAGACCATTTTGTGCATTGGGCGTCCAAGTCCTGTTGTTTCTAAATAATGGTTAATGGCTTAATCTGGGGTATGAACTCAACGATTAATCAACAGCAACACCGCATATGATGCAAAACCATACCAAGCCATTTGACTAAACCACGATGTCATGATTTGCTACTGTCTTCATGCAACGTACGAGCCCAGTCTATATCATGTAATATTTCTCTCTTGCTACGAAATCGCTGAACGTCTTAAACCGAACGGGCTGCCAACTCAAATAGGGAAGCAAGCCCATTGTGACCCATGTAGGCCTCACGTTTCGAATCATAACTTCCACCCTTGTCCCAGAAGAGGCTGAAGGCAGCCACTGTCTAAGAAACGCGTCTCCGCATCGTTGCCTGTCCACTCAGTTGAACGCGCGTTCCTTACTTCAAATGGCGGCTCGGTACACCATTCCGACGTTCCGGGTAACACGCATAAGAAGGCACTAGACGAGTCTCTGGCGAAGAAGCGGTTCCAAGAGCTCTGGCGCCCTCTGTCGGAGAGAAGGCAGCAACGGCCATACTTCAGGGGGGCGGGGCGAATGTCCAAAAGGTTCTGGCGGCGGTGGCGCGGGGAGGTGACGTCAGGCGCGCGACTGATCCGGAAGCCAGGGCAGCCATAGCAGCAGGAGGCGCGGGTGGCTGTAAGTGTGCCGGGGCTGTGAAGCGCGGCAGTCTTTCTCTGCTTGGCCGCGCCTCGCTTCCTCTCCTCCCTCTCGGCGGTGCTTCCCGGCCGGGCTCCGCGTCTTCTTTCCGGCTGTAGGGAGTCTCTCGTTACTATCTCTGTCTCCCTCGCCCCCCAACCGGGTGCTCTCTGTAGGCCGTCTCCTCACTTCTCTCGCCCCTTTTAGATGGCCGGAGAGCTTCCCATTACTTTCATTGGGGAGAAATAAGAATGAGGATTATTTTTATTTATGCTCTATTGAAAGCATTGGCTGCCCAACTTCAGTGAACTCTGGGCAGCGCACAATAGTAGGGGGAAAATAATAACATCCCAGTTTTCAGCTGCAAATTTTGTCTTCCGCTTACGGCACAGCCAGGTCCTTCCATTTCCAGTCGTCTTTCCCCAATCTGGGCCTTCCAGGGGTGTTGGAAAAAAAAACACCTCTTACAGAAACTTCTAGATAGCCTTTTTGGACTCCCAGTGGAAAAGTCTGTTGCAACAATTCTTTACTGCAACAATTTCGACAGCGTTTTCCTCTATTATGTGGCTCTTCTCTCATTATGTCCTGTTTGTTCTCTGAAGAGCTCGAGAGGGTCTGTCTTTGGGAATTTTCCCACAACAGTCCTGCGAGATTCATTGGAATGAGAATGGTTGGGTGAGAGTAACTGAGCTCCATGGTTACTGAGAGCTTAAGTCTCGGTGTTTGCAGATGCATGCACCAAAAGGAACTCTTGTATTTTGTTTTTAATATGTTTTTCAACAGATATACTCCAATACAATCCGGTCTTTGAAATCCAAAGAAAATGAGGGTTTGGGAAGGAGCTCAGAGAAGCTTGAAAGGATGAAACAGTTGTCTTTCTAAAGCAGGAGTGTCCAATCTTGGCAACTTTAAGACATGTTGCCTGGGGAATTCTAGGAATTGAAGTCCACAAGTCTTAAAGTTGCCAAGGTTGGACATTGCTATTCTAAAGGACTAGGTAAGGTGGGAAGAATAGAAATTCATTTACAGATAAAGGTTCCAGGTGAACTTTAAAAAAAAATCATTAACAAGTTTGTCTGGAGATTAGGCTAATATGCTTGACTTCACTAGGCCAGGACTTGTTGAACAAGTTACAGTTGGTTCAGTTGATAAGTAATCAAGCTTAGTTCATGCATATAATTGCCATTATTTAGCAGTCACATTTCATTGTCAACAAATTTTGAGCTTTATGAGTTTTGCAGCTTAGCTCATTCTCTTCTATTGGAATTTTATTCATAAAGCTGGTGGGCATTCTTCAATTGTAGTGAAAATTTTGAATTGGGTAATAAGGGATATATCATTGCTATAGCTGCAGCTCACAGAAACTGATTGCTTAATGTATGTTTCCTGCTATTTGGATATACCACAAATCATAGGCGTACTTGCAGATTAATCTCTTCTTGGTTGTCTAAAGAGGTATTTGGCAAGCTGAGAGAAGCATAAGCTACAAGAATCGAAAAGACACTTTTAAGTTCTTCCTGCTTGGTTTCCTTATCACTAGCAGTGGTTGAAAATTCAAAGAACTGGCAACTTGGGCACTTCTGTGAGTCAGTCAGAAGGCTTCTGGAGATTTTTAATGAGAGTCAAGCAGTAGCTTTTAAAGATTGTTTGCTCTGCAACCTGCAATTTTTTTTTAACACAACACAACATCACAAAGTAGTATCTGTCAGAATTTGGGTCATACTGATAAGAAAAATGCAGGCACAGCCAGAAAGTTCTGTGCAAAATGAATCTTAGAACTGAATAGAATTATGGGATAATTTAGTCCAGTTCTCTGATTCATCAGGATAAACCAGAAGTATTCCTGCCTAACCTAGTGCTGCCCAGAAATTGGGAATTCTGGGAATTGCAAATCAATATATTTTTCTGGGAATTGCAAATCAATATATTTAATTAGAATCAAGTTGTTGAGGCTTAAACATCCGTTTTATAATAACAATTTCTGCTTTGAGATCAAAAAGGAGGACCTATCACTTGCAGTAGTCTATTCTACAGTTGGAAATTTTTTATGCTTATAGACTTTAGCCAAGCTCTTGTTTCCATATTGTGATTCTAGTCCTGCCTTTAGAGACAATTTCTGCATGAAGAATATGCCAGCCACAGATTTCCTTAGGGGTCTCTGCTGGAGATGTTTATCAGTAGATTGCATTTAATATTAATAAAAGGTGAACATGTCTAAGGTGCTATTTGAATGTTCAGCAACAGACCCAACATTGCAAAAGTTACAAACAGCAGCCCAATTTTTACAGTTATCTTCTGATCACATTTTTTATTTCACATGAATGCTGAAGTTGACAAAACATTAAGGAATTGATTGTGTGAAATTGATTCCTGTTACCAGGAAGACTGAAAGTTTGCTCCTGTTACTCTAAAATGCAGCTGAGGTTTGTAGGATGTCAAGTATTTTAATCAAAGTTAATAAGAAATATAAGTTAACATATCTTACAGCCATGACATGAAACAGTCTGAATATTCCGTGGCAGTAGGCTTGGTCATCAAATGCTATAAGTAAATATGTAACTGAATTTCCACTTCTTTCAAAGAACAGTCGGCTTAGCTATTGATGGAAAAAGTATGCTGTGTCTGTGGACCTTGATCCAATCATGCAATTATTATCATGTGATACAATCATGTAAGGTTAACTATAACTTTAGGCAGTCCCAAAGCAGAGAACCTGTGTCTTGCACAGATTCACATAAGTGCTTATCTTGCTCCTTTTTTTTGCTTTTCTCAGGTTACTTTCTCAGGGATGACTCAATTAGGTGCCATTGCAGCTTTGGCTGCTAGCTTAATGGCAGCTTCTCTTTTTTCTGCAATACACAAGATTGAAGAAGGACATATTGGTGTTTACTACAGGTAAGGGGAGACACTTGGAAAGAGCTGTGCTTTGTTATATTGTTGCATGTGTGCTAAGAAATGTGGTTTGCAAAATTGAATAAATGACAAATGGATTTTTTCCTTCACTTCAACCTGGTGCCATGCATGACTTTCTTTAGGAGAGTGTTCTTTAAGTTGAATGCCATAGCTGTGAAAATCTGCTTCTCTAGGACCATTTGAGGAGTGTGTGCAAATGCATCTCATTCTGAATATGCTTGCTGAGATTGCCTGTACAGGTTTCAAAATAGTAGCTCCAGAATGGTTAGCTTGGGACACTTGTGGTCTTTTGGCACTGGAGAAGACCCCCATAAATAACTTGAGTGTTTAGGTTGAAAAATTTGGCTTTGAACCTGAGGTTGTTGCAAGCTCCGTGTAATTGTATTTATGGTGAGCTGTCCAGAGATCTTCAGTTTGTAGATGCTATACAAATGTTGTAAATAAAGTTCTGATAAAAGGACACAGGCAAAATGTGATGGTGAGAAAGCAAGCTTTGCATTTGTTAATGTACTACATAATCTGGAATTGGTTGGTGGGAATGTCAAAAGGCTAAAATTGCTGATCAAAGAATCAGCATTATCTGTTTAAATATATACCTTTCTCCCCTACAGAGGAGGAGCACTTCTGACATCTACAAGTGGACCTGGTTTCCATCTAATGCTCCCTTTCATAACTTCCTATAAATCAGTACAGGTATCTTGTCTTTATATATAATTGTCTTATGGGGGAGAAGCACAGAGATCTCTTACTGACTGTGCCAGAGTAGTTTTGAATGCTATCTTAGAATAGACATTTCTTGGTAGATTCTAATTTATGGTCTCAACAATATGAGGTGTAATTTCAGTCCAATATATATTTTATATAGCTCAATATTCATAATTGTTGTATATTTTGATGCTCTTAAATGCATCTTGGGGCAATTTTGTTAATATATAACTCTAATGCTCTTTGTGTATCTTGGGTGCAAGCCTGAGGAACTGCTTTGTTAAGTGGTTCATTATGTAATAACTGTTGTGAAAGGAACGAAAGAAGCTTGCCACACCCTATAGTTCAGAGTCCAGGTTTTCTGTTACAAGTTGTTTGGGTAAGGAAAATAATGTGGGAAATGCTTGAGGAGGTTAAAAGTAGAATAAAAATGGAATGTGACATGAAGAAGAATTGCGCCCATTCTTAAATTTGTAATGTAACCTTTTATTCTTGGATCTCAATTCTCCATGATAATCATAGCTTAGTCTGAAACTGTGACTGATCCTAGTTTGTCTCCAGAGGAAAATTAGAATGAGTACAGTTTTGGTTTCCATGACCAGGAATTATAGTTTGCAATAACCATCATTCATATAGTGTAGCAAGCTATAAACTCCACATTATTTAGTAATCAAAATTATATAGCCATCCATCTCACAAGACGTTACTCTGGGTAGTTTACAATAATATAATAATATATAATCCATATAAATCAGACAAGATGTATACAAGCTTGTGACACAAATATTATTTACATACCCCAATTTGTTTAATTGTTACATCCAGTAGAAAAACTGGTTTCATGTGTATGGAACATTGTTATTTGGCAATAAGGTTTATTTATTTTTCTTATTATCTACTTCCCAAATTGACATAGATCTTAACTGCCTTTTATTATTTTATTGTCCTGTAATATGTATATTTTTTCCATGTTTTATTAAGCATTTTACCTCTGTAAATTTTGTTAATGAGCCTATGCAAAGTTCTTGTAAAGTTATTCATACAATTGCAGATCTGCAAACAAAGTTGTTCTTTGCATGTGCCACATTTTTCTGACTCCTTCACATTCTTTCTTTTTGTCTTATCTGAATGGACCTTAAACCTGTTTTCAAACAAGTCTTTTCACTTTTTCACAATAAGGGTAAGAAATTATCTTCAAGACCTGCTCTCAATCAGCATGTTGAATATATTTGTCTTGAACTATTGCTGAGCAACTTTTGGAATGGCCAGTCTGTTTCTGGCTCAGATAGGTTGCAGAGAAGATGGGGCTAAGATAATCAGGTAGTGCTAGATGTAGACAGATGGATGACATTTACCTGAGTAGGGCCAAAGAGACTGACCAATGCTATGCAAGCCATTCTGCAAAGATGGGTAACTCCAGGACCACTTTTTACAGCCCATGGAGCTCTGCACTCCCCAAAATTATTTTTCTGCTCTGCTTGGACCAAAACATCATTTGGCACCAGGAAATAAAAAGTTGTACAATTTAAAAATCCTCCAAGTCAGGGAGTAAAATATGAAGCTTTTCACAGTTGTGACCTCCTTTATGCAACATTACCTTGTTTCCTACGGCTGTTTATCCCTCCCAAAAGATTATGTGAGTGTCGGCTGCCAAATTTTGTTTATTTCCCATCCCATAGAAAAGTTTATTTTTCTTGTTGCAGAAGTGAAATTCAGCTTAAGGAAAGCAGTTCCTTAGTAGTCCTCTTTCTTTCTACTTTCTAGACCACCTTACAAACAGATGAAGTAAAGAATGTTCCATGTGGCACAAGGTGAGGTTGAACCCCTATCTATGAATCTGCCATTTCTTAGCCTTTATCTTCTCCGCAGGTGGAGGGAGTTTTTCACATACATAAATCTAGAATTTGTTTTGTAACTTTGATTAGTGCTTCCCTCCTGTGTATAGATGTATCAGAAAATATGGTGGTTATTTTTCCTGTTTTCAGATAAGATGACACAAAATAGGAAATGGAATCGTCTCGTATCTATGATACTGTATTTGGCTTTCCATAACTACCAGTTTGGTCTAGTGATCAAGTCACCAGGCTAGAAACCAGGAAATCATGAGTTCTAGTCCTGCCTTAGACATGAAAACCAGCTGGATGACTTTAGGCCAGTCAATCTCTCTCAGCCAAAGTCACCTCACAAGGTGGTTGTGGAGAAAATAGGAGGAGGAAGGAGTATTAGCCACGTTCACTGCCTTAAGTTATTTATAAAAATGATAAAGGCAAGATAAAAAAAACAATACCACAGCCCAGGAGTCTGTTTTTAAAGATGGCATAAAAATGCAAGTAGGTTTGTCGGTCTTGAAACCTGGAGCTAAGATGTTTGGTATTCAAAACTGCAATTACTTTGCTAAGAAAAACCTCAAGTTATGTAGCTTGGCTAATTAATATAATCATTTCTTATGTTTCTATTTTCGATAGAGGAGAATATTAGTAGCTCAGGGTTAAAATGAGGGGTCCTTGGTACTCTCTGAGCTTGCTTGTTTTCTTGCACAGACGTTTCGTTACCCAAATTAGATAACATCATGAAATGTCTGCAAGAAATCCACCGATTTCTATTCTAATTTCACCCCTCATTTCTATATTTTTTCCATTTATGGAGCCCATGTGAGAAAATGCAAACTCTCCCCCTTTTCCAATCCTGATGATGTTAGTGTTTGAGCAGGATTCTCATCCAGGCATCTTATTTCAGTGCAATTTTTATTATTATTATGGCTTGTCACACAGTTAGCCAGATGTTCAGACTGGATTTGCCATTTTTATCCACCTGTCAAGTCCTTCCCCAGGATCTGAGTGGGATAGGCAGATGTTGATGTTTCATTGTGTTAGAGGTATGGTCACAGGATGTAAGCTGTTCCAAATAAAGCTGTCTTTTGCAATTGACTGATGGTGAATTTGTCAATGCCGCTGGTGTTGAAATGGTGCTCCAATTGTTTTGGGATTGCACCCAAGGCAATATTACTATTAGTATTATCTTTGCTTTCTTTATTTTTCTCACTCAGATGGGAGGCCAGATTGCATTCTGTAGTCCAAAGAATGCTCTGCTCTACCACTAGATGGCACTTTTTTCCTTTTACTTATCCACGGAGAAACCTCTTGCAGTAGTCTTAATAGGCACCAATGGATCTAAAATTGCTACTCTTTTTTTAACAAAAATCTGTTTGGGGGCAGGTGGAGTTCACTTTCTGAGCTACCTCTTGATACCTTATTCTTTCAATCAGAAGTCTGGTAGCACTTTTTTTCGAAATAAAGCATTTTATAAAAGGTGTCAGCTTACGTGAGAAGAACTTATGCTTTCTAATAAAAGGTGTTCATCGGAAAAAGGTGCTACCAAACTCCTGTTTTTTTTAGATTAGCACAGCTTTCAACATCACTTCTCTTCCAAGTGACCCATCCCAGCAGATGCTCACCTCTCTCCCCCCACCTTGATTTTTTTTTTTTCCTGCAGCGGAGGTGTGATGATCTATTTTGACAGAATTGAGGTGGTGAATTTCCTGATCCAAAGTGCAGGTGAGTTATTGCTGCCAACCTCTTTTTTGGAGCTGGATTTGGGATTGCATTTATTGTATTAGTTGGCTGCACCAATTGTGCTGAAAGGAAGATACATTGTATGAACATTTTATACCAAGGAAATAAAATTTGGGGTTTTTTTAGAAATCAGTTCCCTGGGTTCTTTGCTGCCTGGACAGAAGTACTGAGTTTTTCCTGTTTTCAAACCATGGCTGTAGTGATAACAATTGAGGTGCCATTTCTTGCCTGCACAATTTTTTAAGACCCCTTTTTCTTTCTCCCTAGTCTATGATATAGTAAAGAACTATACTGCAGACTATGATAAGGCTCTCATCTTCAACAAGATTCACCATGAGCTGAACCAGTTTTGCAGTGTTCACACACTTCAGGAAGTTTATATTGAATTGTTTGGTGAGTGTCTTTGGCATGACGTGCAGAACTCTTGAATTAAAATACCTTAGAGAACTGTTGGGGTTACAATGTCTCTAGAATGAAAGGAATTTAAGGGTTAGGTTTGTGAATTTTCTTTCTCTTTCCCATAATTTGAGAGCATTTATGGATTTGCATATTGTTAAATCATTGAATCCACAGTAATAGATATTACTTTTCTAATATTAATGGCAGCATTGAAAAACCTGAAAGACCAGGTTAAAGACAGAAAATATATGTGGTTGCTAAGAACAGAGACCAATTTGATGATACAAAATCTATCAATCAAAAAATTAATGGTGCTTTTAGCTAGTCTCAGTGGAAGTAATTAAATGTTGCAATGTGTGATATATCATTTCCTTTGAACCCACAACTAGAGCAAGATGGTACATTACATATTCTTCATTAATCTACCCTCATCTTGTTTCAGAAGGCAAATCAGTCAAATAGTGGTTTTGTACTTTAAGTTTTCATAATCAGGAATTTTGGCAGATCTGCTTTATGAGGCAGGAGTGAAAATTTGCACCATTTTTTTACCTCTACAACTATTTAGCAGTACAGGAACATTGGAACGTGTTACTGATTATATGACTGGTTGACGATTATATTCCCCTTACTTATCAGTGGCCCTGATATACTTAAAATATTTTTGAATTGTAAGTCCCAGTATTCCTCACTCAGTATTCCTCACCATAAATTCACAAGTTTATGGCTAATATTGCTGGAAGTTCAGCAAATTTTGAAAATCCATATATTTTCTGTGATCTTTGGCATAAAAGGGATTGGAATTGAAAGTGAGGCCTTCTGGTTCCAAAGGAACTACTGTCTCAATAACCTATAATTCCTTACAGAAAATAAATGCCTTGTCATCCATATTCTCTCCCATTTTTATTGCAACAATATTGTCTTTGGTAAATGAGCAAGCAAGTGCAACTGCTTTTCTTCTCTTCATTCTTTCTGTTTACACATGCAAGTGTATCAGCAAAGAATCAACATTGCTGATGTGCTTGTTCACAATTTCTTGTTTCATGCTTGTTCACAATTTCTTGTTTCATGCTTTATCCCTTCTTAGATCAGATTGATGAAAACCTAAAACTGGCTCTCCAACAAGATCTGACAACTATGGCTCCAGGACTCATCATACAGGTAACAAAAAAATCTGGAGTATATTTCAAGAACAAAATTCTGGTGCAAAACTAGATAGAAAGATCAATGTTTTGGTTTCAGGATCCCTTTACATTCTAAAAATGATTGAGGGATCCCAAAGAGCTTTGGTTAATGCAGGGTATATCTAACAATATTTAGATATTAGAAATAGAGAAAGTTTAAAATATTACTGAAAGAAAGTTTGAGTATCGCTGGAATAGAGGAGAGGATTGCAAACTAATGTTAATGTTATCCCATTTGAAGTTCAGAGATTCTACCATTGTTGCAAACATGATGACAAAATATTGGTTCTAGGTTTGTTCTAGATTATAATCTTTTCTCCTAATGTGAGTGTTTCAAGATCTGGTCTAGGCAACTTCCATGCTTAGTTTTATATGTCTGAATAGATTATAAAATTATAAAAAAAATGTTGTTTATCTAAACAAGGAGTTATTGAAACCTCTTATAAGCTCTATCCAACTGATAACTAGTTTTTGCTTTGTTGCTTCAGTCTTGCTGGTTCCTATTCACAGATTCAGGATGCCTTTACTTTTGAACAATCAGCTCTGTGGTTCTTAATATTGTGGTCATTTTGAGAATCTTTCCACATAATCCTCACTTTTTCTGTTCAATCAGGCAGTTCGAGTTACAAAGCCAAACATCCCAGAAACTATTCGGAGAAATTATGAGCTCATGTAAGTTTCTGTAGTCCTCTTCTTTATAGTCACTACATGTGTTTGTGCATATATTACACATACGCTATAGGACTATAAAGTTACAGTCATGTGACATATGGAAAAACACACACTGCTCACCCAGTTTTATCTGCTAAGTATGTTAAGGACCCCGTTTCCTAACTGTATTGCTAATTAGCCAAGTATCTTGCCCTTAAGTATGTTTAATCTGAACTTTTTAGTGTTTTAAAATGTTTTAATTGCAATATCTTTTTTTTTAATTGTAAGCCACCAAGAGTCATTTACTGAGATGGGCTACTATAGGAATGAATGATCGAATGATGGATCAGTTTGAGCTGTCTGTAAGAATTTCTTGTGCTTATTATTTGTGCATATAAGAGCTGTGGTGGTGCAGTGGTTAGAATTCAGTACTGCAGGCTATTTCTGACTGCCGTCTGCCAGCAGTTCTGCAGTTCAAGTCTCACTGACTCAAGGTTGACCTCAGCCTTCCATCCTTCCGAGGTCAGTAAAATGAGGACCCAGATTGTTGGAGGCAATAAGCTGACTCTATAAACTTATTAGAGAGGACTATAAAGCACTGTGGAGCAGTATATATAAGTGCTGTTCTATATATGTATGTATTTTAATCTATTCAGAAACTTGAAGATGCCTTTTGTTATGGAAGTCATTTTAATCCTTTAGCTAAAGCCTGTCTTGATCTCCTCTAGGGAGAGTGAAAAGACAAAACTGTTGATTGCGGCTCAGAAGCAGAAAGTTGTGGAGAAAGAGGCTGAAACAGAACGCAAAAAGGCTCTCATTGGTTGGTGTGCAGTTCTTGCTGTCATGTATAAATATTCTTGTAGAATTATGCAGAACATAGAAGGTGGTATTTCTTGTTTTGTCTGTGTGAACTGCATTTTCCAAAAGAGCAGAGGGTGATCAAAAGCAGAGGTTAGGAAGTATACACTGTGCATATAACTATTTTTCTTAATTAAAGTTTTGCTTGGGTTTTCACACACACAAAAAACATAATACAAGTAAAACATTTTTTTGAAAATAGCATGGTCCCGGGTTATACAGACACAAACTCAGTTTCATGCTCATTTTTGTGTTCTATTCCATATCTTATTTCTATTTTGCATTTTCTATATAGTTTTTCCCCTCTTAATTTTCTCAATTTTATTTTGATTATCTCATCTCAATTCAAATCATTATATTTATACTTTTGTCTGTCCTGTTTCAATTTCATATTATCTTTTCTCATTAAACAAATTTTCTCCTGTAGTTACTAATTTTATCCATTCAACTCCTATTTAAACTTCAATATATACCTTAAGGTTATAACGTTCAATATAATACATAATACATAACTTCCAATCGAATTCTGCTTGGTACATTCTTATAATACACACTATATTCTTTTAAAAAGGATTATAAATATATATAATTAAAACTCTCATTCCATTCCAATTCAGTTCTATCATTAATACTCATTAAAGTCTTAACATCTTTAACATTTCTTTTCAATTAAATATCATACTTCCTTGAAGACACGTATAATCTCCATAATTAATTTTTCCCTTATTTCTCTTCACATATGTTTTATAAATCATTAAATGTTTATTTTATTACATTTATTTATTGACAAACATTCCACTGAGTTATAACTATTTTATCAAACATTTTAATCATACATTGTTTCATATTTTCTGAAATTATTTCTATTTCTAATATAACAATACTATCTTACGTACCTTTGCAGAATCCTTTTTTCAATTAGATTTTCACCCATTATCTCTAAATAGGCCCTGTTTCTCTATATCTTGTTTCTCTCCTTTATAACTTCTTTTCCTTTCTTTCTTCCCTCTCTTCTTCTCCCTCCCCTTTTTACCCCCTTGTCTCTCTACTTCTAATTCTCTCTTCTGCATTTCCCTCTTCTGTCGCTTTCTGATTTTATACTTATTTTTCAATCTATTCTTTTGGGGGGTTCTTTTTCCCAGTCTTAAACTTTCCATTCTCTTTCCCCCCCTTTCCTTTTTTTTCCCCACCTAAGATTACTTGTTCATTAAAGATGGCTTCTTCTTTGTCCCAATCTTCTTGTTCTGCAGGCATTTCTTGTTGTTTCTCATAGTTCCAAATCTCCATTTCTAAGAACTGAAATACAAAGCCAAAAGAACCTCTCCCTTCTTGTGCATCTTCTTTGTACTTTTTAAGTTCCATTTTAAGTTCTTCTAAGAGTGGAGCCATTTTAAACATTTTAAACAACCACCCGATTGATTTTAGTCATTCAGATGCAGTAACCAAGAATCCAGAGATCACCAAGTAATCCAAATACTCCCGAGCTATTTCTTCTTATTTCTTTTTTCACTTTCTCTTCCTAGGGTTTTACTATTTTGTTGCCATGTTGCAGTTAAAATGTATCTTTTAGAAGTCTTGTTGAGCTTTTACTGTGAGTTCTTTTTAATTCCAGGCAGTCTCCTCCCTTCCAGATCCTGCCCTTTTATTCTTTTTCTCTCCTTTCCTGTTTTCAAAAGCTTTTAAGTATCCAGAAATCTTTATTATCCCTTTGACTTTTTATTTTCAGCATTAAATGCCTATTGATGCCAAAGTGGATTTTTTTCCAATTTCTTGCTTAAGTCTCTTAGCTGTCAGTATAGGAAAAGGAGAAAACCAAATCTTTTCCCTTTTCTCTCTCCTTCGCTGCTTAAAGATCTTCTTTGGGAACAGTATTATTTTTTTATAGTTTAAATTCCAGGGTACCTTATTTGTTGCTTTTGCTGTTTGACCCAGTCAACCAAAACTTTCTCTTCTTATCTTCCTCCTGCACATTCTTTTCCGGTCGAGTTCTTCTTTGTGGTGGCCACTTCTGACCACCGCTACAACCGCCTTTGGGAAAGAGAATAATGGCCAGCTAAGGAGGAGAGATGCGGTTCTCCTCAACCCTGCAGGCAGTCTCCCCCTTCTTCACCACCTCTATGGGGTGGCTTAGCCCCAAAACCAGCCGGCTCGGGGCACTCCAGCGGCGAGCACGGATCGAAACCACGCAGAGTTGCGGTTTCGGTCTATCGCCGAAGAAGCTCAAATCGGAACTGCATATAACTATTAAGGGAGTGTTTTTCCTACTGGATCTGAACCAAACTGGATATAAACTCAGAATTATTTTAGATTGCAAGCTGTGAATTCTCTGAGAGAATAAAAAATAATCAGTTTGTAAAATGATGGGGAGAACAAACAATTTCCTCTAGGGTAATTAACTTAATCAGAGATCATTAGATAAACCCTAATTTAAAATATGAGCCACCCTTGTGAAAAAGAGAGGGAGAGAAAAAAACCTTCTGAAAAGGTGTACAAGTCATCATTTCTAAGCACCCATAGAGAGGCAGTGAATGAAGCCTGTCTGCTCCAGGAAATTGTTGCTTCATTGAACATCATTGCTGCCTCCTATAATAACTGGGTGTGTTTTCTTTCCTATGCAGAGGCAGAAAAAATTGCCCAGGTGGCTGAGATAACATACGGGCAGAAGGTGATGGAAAAAGAAACAGAGAAGAGAATATCTGAGATTGAAGGTAAGCAGCGGTGTCTTAGAGGTGTTTATCCTGTCTGAGGATTTCAACCACTATGTTCCATGTTTGAAGATCACCAGAAATCTAGGAAAGAGATAAATCCAGTTTACAGAGAGAACAAGGAAATTCCAAAAATCTTAATGATGTTAATGGAGATTATCTTGTTTTGGGTGAATCAATATGATATGATGTAATTCTGTAGAAGCAGCATCTTGTGATTTACTTCTGTTTAACCACATTTGTCTGTTTTCAGCTTTAGGAGCACCTCCCCATTTCACTGAGGTTTGAAGAATCTTTTCCTTGCTTATCCCAGTTTTTATTTAAGCAATAAGGAGGTAAATCATAGAATCATGGAATGGGAAGGATAATATTTAGACTATTGAGTTTGAACCCCTGCTTAGTGCAAAAATCCAAATTAAAGCATTGGTTACAGTTCAGCTTCACTTGAAAACTTCCAGCAAAGGCTACCCATTACTTTTAAATCCTCCTTGAACTGCCATTAAATCAAGAATCAGAAAATTGACTGTTACCATTGCTTGTTACCATTAGGAAATTTCTCCTAACTTCCATTGAAGGAGTGTGCAGTAGGCAGGTTTGAGCAACAAATTGCATTGCACTTATGTCAGAGGCACCAGGCTGCTTCCGTGTTCAAAGTACTAGCCGGTGACATTGTTGCCCAGGGGATGCCCAGTTGAGAGCTGCTTTCATGTCCCTGTTAATGTGCCCAAACAAAGTGGTACCTACCTACTTGGAAATGCACACTTTTGAACTGGTAAGTCAGCAGGAGCTGGAGGAAATTATGGGAATTCACCCTATTCCATGTTAGCATTTGGGTCTCGAACATGGGCTTACTACTTGTCAACTCAATGTCCTAACCATGCCACCATGCTATAAATGAGGCAGAATGAATCACCTACTCCTCCTCTCTGCAACAATTTATCTCGCTCCCCCAACTTGCAGACCTTAAATACAATCCAAATATCTCTGAGCCTACCCCCTTTGTGCACAGGCTTTGAAATTAGTTGAAGTTACATGGGATTAGCATCTGGATCACAAGTTGCCCCGGTGATATCTCCACCAACTGGCATTGGCTCTTAAGGATTTTAAACCCAAGTGTTTCTCTACATCACAAGCCAGAACTGAACCTGGGCACTTTGCCTATAAAGCATGTGCTGTGCCACCAAGCAAAAGCTTTCAAGCTACCCTTGTAAGAAGGAGATGCTGACATAAGGATTTCCCATTTGTTGATCCTATTTTTGGAATAAGCTGCTGGTGCAGGGAAAAGGCTTCTCTGGCCTGCCTCTAAGCACCGGTTTGCTAAGTTAAGTTCATTATGAACCTTGTCAAGCAATGCAGCATGTCCCCAAGGAGCTAATTAGTGGTTTACAGATCAGCCGCATCTCATCAGGCAGGCCCTGACAGGGGGCTAATAGCTTGCTTTTACATCGAGACGTGTTGCTGAGTGCCAGGCCTTTGAAATGATCCAGCTGTATCCTAAGCGAGTGAAAGAGAGGAGACAGGATGTTCAGTGTATCCTGAGTAGCAAACTTGGGGCTTTGTTCAGACTCGTGTGGTTGTTCTGGCAATTGGATACTGTGCTGTATACTTCTTGAATTGCACGCACTTTGGGCTGCTGACATTAGTACATTGGTATATGAACTGACATGGAGATGTTAATGGATGGAAGTGTGTCAAAACCACATGAGTATGGATTTCCCCATTGACTTTGCTTGTCAGGGGAGTTGCAGAAGGTGATCATATCACCTCAGGACATTGCAGCTGTCATAAACAAGAGCCAATTGCCAAACATCTGAATTCTGATCATGGGACCATGGGGATGCTGCAATGGTCCTGAGTGTGAAAAAGTCATAAGTCACTTTTTTCAGTACCATTGTCACATTGAATGGTCACTAAAACAAATGGTTGTAAGTCTAGTACTGCCTGTATTGCTTTTATATAACAAAGCTTATGACTTTTTCACACTTGCAACCATTGCACCATCCCCACAGTCACATGATCAAAATTCAGATGCTTGGCAATTGACTCCTAGGGTCATGTGATCACCTTTTGGGACCTTCTGACAAGCAAAGTCAATGGAGAAGCCAGATTCATTTAACAACCGTGTTACTAACTTAACAGATGCAGTGATTCACTTAACAACTGTGGAAAGAAAATTCATAAAATGGGGCAAAACTCACTTAACTGTCTTGCTTAGCAACAGAAATTTGAAGCTTAATTGTGGTCATATTTAGCGGTTACTTTATGAATTGGCTTTCTAAACTTGGAAATTCTTTCTCTTAGAATAATAGCTTTGCTAACTATCAAAACACTAATATTAGTTTGTTTTCGTGGTGGATAGAAGATTATGCAATAGATTATGTTTCTGCTGAACACAAACATTTCAGTGGAAGTGGGAAGTGGAGGGTGACATGTGCTTGTCAGCGTAGGCGGAATAATTCTTTGTACTTTTCTATCAGTACTGTCTTTCAGCTGTGCACTTTATAGGGAATTGATTTCATATCTCCCAGATCTAATTTCAACCATCTCTACCTCACTGACTTGTGGGTGTGTGGCGGAAGAGTTTTGCTCAATAACTAGAACAGTCTAAATTATATCTGTTCCACTTGATTCTGAAAAGTATCTGATTTACCAGTAGGTTTCACACAGAAAAGTTTGAGTTTTTAACTGGAGCATGTTCCTTCTTGTTCAGATTTCTTTTTGTCACTTACCATAAGCTGAGTGGAAGAGGTTTTGAGCATGCTAGGGTGATGCCTTATTTTAGCATTGCCTAACCTAGTACCCTTCATACTACACAAAGTCTACTGGCTATGTTGATGCTCAGAATGCCTGCATGATATCAGGTTAAGGAAAACTGCTCTGCTTCATTTCCTCCTCCAGATTGTTCTCTTAATGATTGGCTGTATTCTTTTCCTTGTTATTCTGATCAAGATTAAGAGAAAAAATGACTTCAGGTGGAAAGTATTTGACCAATTCTGAAGATAGAAATCAGCATTTCTTCTAGAAAATGCCTGCCTCTTTTAATTTTCAAATTTTCAGGATCACTTGAGGCTTCTCTGCATTTGGAAGTCTTATTCACCCACCTCCCCTCTTTTTGCAGATGCTGCGTTCCTTGCCAGAGAAAAAGCGAAGGCGGATGCTGAATGTTACACAGCCATGAAGATAGCAGAAGCCAACAAGGTGAGAGATTCCACTGTGCTTCCATGGCCTGGAGCTCAGATTATTGATGCAACAACTGCGAGTTGTTTTGATCTTTGTTCTCACTGCAATTGTCCCCTTGTCTGAGATTCTCAATCCTCAGGTTGTTGATGGAATCTGTGTGACTCCAAAAATCTTATTGATTTAAAAAGTTGTTCTTGATTATTGCTAACCATTGATTTGTTTAGTTATTTATTTATGGACTAGTTTGTGCCTGGCAAATTATGCTAGGTTTTTCCTCTTCCTCGTGGACACAGACTGTTCTGACCCAAACCCTTTTCCAATAAAACAAACATGAACCAAAGGGAACAGAAACTTTTTAATGATTCTTACGACTTCCCGGTTAAAAGGCTGCTGCAAACTAATTAACTTTTATAAACACAAGCCTTGCCAAAATTCTGCGAGGCTGCCAAGAATAACAGATAAGAAATATTTTACAACACAAGAGTCTTCAAATACCAACTTAAGATACTGCAAGATACTTTCAGGCTGCAGGGATTGCCATTGCCTATTGCCGCCTCTGCATGCCCCATTTTTGGCCTCAGCAGCCTGTTTTTGGCCTCTGTGTGCCCCCGGCAGGTGGGCAGGGCTTCAGCAACATTTGCTGTATAAAATGCACAGACATTTCCACCCACTTTTTACACACCAAAAAATATGGTATTTACACAACATGCTAAATCCCAAATGTAGATTGGTAGTATGTTTCTCCCATGTACATATTGTTGATTCATTTGTGTCAGAAGCAACACAGTGAAAATAAGGAAGACTATATGATATAAAATATTAAATATACAACATTAAAATATATACAAAAACTAGCCCCAAAACTAGCAACAGTGATTGTGCTCTGTCGTGCTGCCATGAGATCCAGATTGGGACACAAAGGGTAAATATATATAGGGTTGTTGTCTGTACGTCATCATAATCGCAAAGAGCAGAAGCCACTGGATAACCATTTGTTCAGAATGCCTCTGGATATTGTGCTATATTCAAACAAGCTGTTATTATGGCTGAATGCAGTAGCCTATTTGTATAACACAGTAAGGTAGTGGCTGAATCAATTAACAAGCCTCATTTTAGCTTTATCTTGCATATTTATTTTGCTCTACTTTTGTATTTTCGAAGTATTATAAGCCACACAATTGATAATTTAATCCAAAGCCTGAGCAGTAGTCTTGAAAACTCTTTTTCATAACTGGACTGTGGGTGTGCTCTCTTTCTCTCTCCTTGCAGCTAAAACTGACCCCAGAATACTTGCAGTTAATGAAATACAAAGCGATTGCCTCTAACAGCAAAATCTACTTCGGCAAAGATATACCCAACATGTTTATGGATCACGCTGGGACTCCCACTAAGTTTTCTGAAGGGCAGGCAGAGGAGCTAAAAGATGAAAGTTGGCTGGAAGCAGGGGAAGATTTGTGAAGTCATGAGCAGCCAGAAGGACAGCACAATCCTTGTCTGAATCCATCCGAACTGGCATTTGGCTATTTGATGTGTGGTGTCTACCTTCCAGAATGTGATGAAGCACTGAACCTACTAGGCCAGAAAGAAGAACACCCTCTGTTCTGTAAAGACAGCCTGAAGAAGCACTGCAACTCAGTCTTCTGACTTCATCTTTCTTAGCAGTCAAGATATGCTGCCTTATTGATCTTTGTGCCGATTGAGGGAGCAACAGTGAATCATGGTAAAAGAAGAGGCAGCGTGCCTATGATTGACTCTGCCTCCACTTCAATAAGATGAAGCATGCTCAATTTTATTTTTGGAGCAAGAGAAGTCTTTTCATGTGAGAAACCCAACTATCCCCTTATACTTGTACATATACTACAGGTCAAGTCCACCACATAGGAATTTTCGGGGGTGGGGGAGGATTGAAAAAAGAACTCGCTCCCTCTTTTGGTAATGGCAAATTAGTCTTGATATAGCCCAACCTTATTCCTTCTAGAAGTTTTGGGACTTCCAACTCCCCGTGATGTAAGTTGTTGGAGTAACTGGGAAGTCCATGAGTTACAGTCCCAACCCTTCTGAAGGGATAAGGTTCAGTAGGCTGATTTTTTTTTTCAGGGGGGGGGGACTTTATGTGGATGAGCAGATCATCTCTGCATGCTGAATTATTTGCATTCATGAGCATCGTCTCCAGTAATTGGATTTCACTAGTCATCAGTTGCAACCTATTCCTTCAAAAATAAAGGTGCTAATTTTGAATTTTTTAAACAAGAAGTACACTACAGATTAAAAGCCTTGGAATAGAAACATGGAGCATTAAACATTAACTAAAGATATGTCAGTTGGTGCTTATTTCAAGATCTGCAGAGCACATCTAGACCGTATGTCCACCTTCCTACCCTGTAGAAATTGGTTGGGACACTATGGGACAAATGTCAGATGAAATGGTTCTTTTGTCCTTACATTAAATGGAGAAGTGCTTGTCCTCTGTCTGGAAGTTCTTCTATAATAATATGCAGTTCATAGAGGGAATCCATAGAGAAGCATACCTTGATTCTGGTTTTCAGCTCGTGGTCTGGAATGAACCTGCATAACTACTGATTTGAAATCTTAACACAATCTTCTAGCCATGTCATTGTTGTTCACTAGGTAATTGGCAGCCTATTTGTAGAACCCAGATCTGACTGATCAAGACTCATCATAGAGGGCTGCATTTTGGCTTGGGTAATCTCCAGTGGTGCAACATCGGGGTCTCTCCTATTCCACTACTTTATGGATAAAGTAGATTCAGCATTTCTCTATTCTAGAAGGCTGCCCTTTGAAGTGATCCACAAGTAGGTGAAATAATTTGGGAACTGATTTTTAACACCATTTTTTTTCTGAGGACAGCCCAGCAAGCAGGAATCCGAAACACCAAGCTGCATCCAAATCCCTCCTTCAGCAACCAATGATGTCTCAGATGGTGCCCTTAGTGACTCTGTAAATCCCATGCTGCTTTTACATTTGGTGTGTATCTTTCCATTAAGAATAGGGAGGGGGAGTTGCATGTGGTCCGAGAAATGGCTTGCTCCAAAAAACAGACTGAGAGAACTTTCTGTTCCTCCGAAACAGGACTTTTTCATTCTTTGTGTTGGCCTGTGCTATTTATTTTGCATAGGCTAGTGTTTCTCAGCCTAACCAACTTTAAGAAGTGTGGATTTCAACTCTCTAAATTCCTAGCCAGCCATGATGGTTGGTTGGGGAATTCTGGGAGTTGGAAGTCCACATGTCTTAAAGTTGTAAAGGTTGAGACACAGTGATGTAGACTAACTGGGCAATCCGCCAAAATTTTCGGTTCTAACCCCAAGATTCTTGTATTTCTAGGGCTGAAATCTTATTTGTAATCCAAACAGTCTGTAACAAAAGCCTTTTTTTCTCCTTGAAGTAGGGGAACCTTTTTTTAAAAAAATCACTAATCAGCATTTGCGAGTTGAATAGCTGGTATATCAGTAGCATATATTTTCCTGCTTTTAAGCTGCAGCAAGCAGGACTATAATGTCTTGTAACTGGCAGAACCAGGAACCCTGGATCTCTTAGGTGATGATACTCAAAAGACTCATCTAAGTCTAATCAGTGCCTCCCACTATAAAATCAGTGCCCAGTAGCCACAAGGCCTGAATAAGCCCTCTTGCTAAATCATCTTTTGTGTCTGTTCCATGTGTTAAGAATGCAAGCTTTCCTAGGTCCTTTTTAAAGTATGCTTTGCCTATGCTGGACAAAGACCAAGTAGAAAAACTTTTGCTTTTTGTTCTCTTTCCTTTTCTAATCTTTTTCAAACAACTTGGTCAATTTTCAGTTGTCATCAAGTGAGATGTCCTGCACCTTTCTTGGAATATGCCAATGAAAAATCCCTCTTCTTTAGTTTTGTTCCATCATCTAATTGAGAAAGGTGATCTTTTTGTCCTGCTGGTTTTTAATCTTCATGGGAGATTTCTGTCAGTCTGATTATAGTCCTTGCTCTTGAAGTGTGACTTTGGGAGAGGGGTGTTTCCACATTAACATTTCTTAATGTGCAAGAGGGATTGAAGCAAGCCTCTCTATAAAATGGGGACTACGATTCGGAATTTGTAGCCTGCAAACTAAATAAAGGGAATCTCAGGCGCTTTGCCACATGTGCCTTAAATTTCAAATGAGCTTTTCCTTAGCCCAGGGGTGTCCAACCATGGCAACATTAAGACTGCTGGCTGGGGTTTCGGGGAGTTGAAGTCCATAAGTCTTAATGTTGCTAAGGTGGACGCCTTAGCCTTTCCTCCACTTGCAGTTGCTTTCTTCCACATGTCTTCATTGTGTAAAGTTGAGCTAATGTAATGAACATCCAGAATTCCTCTGGAGTGAAGGAAGCTGTATGGACAATATTTGCCTGTTCCACGAAAACTGGAGAAAAAATAGCATAAGCGTGCTAAGGTACCCTTAGTTATGAATCCAGAGGAAACAGTGCTTTGTCTTATGAACAACCTTTGCTATTATATGAGTTTTTATGGAAGCGATAAGATTTATATTTCCGTTTATTATACTTCAAGTTGCCAGCACTGAAGAGGTCACATAATTGGCCAGGTTAATTAAATATAGAAATATCCTGCAAGTGTATCTGATTAGTTGGTATTCTTGAGGTATTAACTTTTGGGGGAATACATTTTTAGTATAGGAGCATTCAGTCATATGAACCCTCACCATTCAATTGACAAGGGTACAGGTGACATACTGGTTTCCCATTCTGTGTTAGAATTTGGCCTTTTCTTGCAGTTGTATTAAGCAGTGATTATGTACAACACAGTATAGGTTGTAGGGAAAGCAGAGCAGAAGAAGCATCAAGTGTACTTCCCTTTGTGTGACTTTTTGTGTATGAATAAAATGTGAGAGTTATGGCGTCATTACCCCCAAATTCATGGGGAGAAGTCCATTAAGTGTGCCATTGGCTCCCATACAGTGCATTGTTCTGAATTGTTGAAATTCCTAGAACTGCAATAACATCGAGATTTTTTTTTTACTATTCTGATTTAAAGACTTATCTCACACCTTGTAAAGTAACCTGACATTCTTCCATGTCTGATAAATGCAAGTCATAAAGCATTAGATCCTTTAGCATGTGGCTTTGTAATGTATTCCTCTATTCTTCAAAGAAGCCAATTTCTCACTAAGATGAAACAAGAAAGAGAAGGAATGGTTTTTTAAGGGTGAACCCAGCTATATCAAATCTAATTCTGAAAATATTGAGACCATAATGAGCCCAAGACAAAGTTTTGATAGTGAAATGTGCAGTACAAGATTAGTTTTCCTCATTCTGATATTGTCCAGTGTTAGGAAAGCAGACATCTGGAGGTCATGGAATGCATATACCACGTAGAATTTGACTGGGCTGGAGGGGGTATATTAGAAAATTTATCTCTTCATAGATGTTTTTCTCTATCACACACTGCCCAGTGTCCATCCTCAGTTATCACCTGACCTTTCAGCAGCAAAAAATTGATGTGGCTGCTATAGGGCAATTAATTGGCTAGCAAGTTGTCACTAGCCAAATTTATCTAGATTCTGTTCATATCAAAAATACTGTAATCAAAATCATATTGATATCTAAGTCTGCAATTCTGGGTTCAGCCATGTTCTTGCTTATTTGTTTAAGCATGTTTTCATGTAGGAGTCATGGGTTTTTCCTTTTCAATTGAAAATACAGAAAGTTTGAAACAAATATTTCAGAAATTGTATGATAAAATAGCTTAGGCACTAAAATGGGTCTGTAATCATTTGTCTTAATTTCTGAATTTCATTGCCTGAGTTATGTCCAATCCTGCAATAGAAGAAAGCTGCTATTTTTCTAGCTTCCTTCTTACTGAAGTTTGCAGAAACAATTATGCGTGCACTGGAATATAAAAATAAAGTTAATAAGCATTCACATAAGATTTATGGGAGCAGTGACATTTGATTTTTTTTCCCTTCATGTATAAAAGATTAGGATTTCTTACTCTTCTGCTCAAGCTTTTTTAAACTAGCAAATACTAAATCCCAGCAAAGTATACTATGACTTTTTATATAACACTGATGTAAAAATGTGGCTTAGAATAAATCTTTAGGATTTTTTTAATATATGGATTAACTAAATGAAACTTTAAAATTCTTTTCAATCTTTTTTAAACAGCATTCTGTAATTAAGATGGGGTGATTTTTCTTGATAATTAAATCTGTCCAGCTAATTGGGTACTACGGTAGAAATATTGATTTTTGTGTATGTGTGAAAGAATGTGCGTGCAAGAGAGCAGCTTTGTTAAAATGAGCCTTTCTCAGCTGCTTGCTGTCTGGGTTCATATCAATTAATTTTTCTATTTCCTTTTGTATTACCATTGAACAAAGTAACACTTATTTTTTATATGCAAGGATGTGAAAAGACTTTTATTCTTCAAATGAACTCTCTATAGGAGGCAATCAATGTTGCTGTCTTTTGGGACATTTGCCATTCCACCATGCTGCTGTGTTTCTAATCTGTTGGATTGTTTCCTTAGAAAATTGTGTATTAAACTGCTAGTACATTTTGATATTTATTGTAATTACTCAATAAAATGTTCTTTGCTTTTAGAATAAGTACACCCTAATGTGTATATTCAGGGGATCTCTTTTCAGGGTGAAAAGTACGGAGTTATTGCACATATGCTGGGCTTTGAAATAATGTTGGCAGGAGTAGGGCACAAAAATATATAAAGAATAAGAATTGGATAGTATCTTGGAAACATTTCCTGAACACAAGAAACACACACAAAAATCTTATTTTAAATTGAGATGTTTTATGGAGCTGGGGTGCCAAGCATTCTCGTGGGGGTCATTAGAACTTGATTATCAGAAATCTTAATTGATGCATTTATAAAGTTGAAATGTATTTCCCTACTGTCTTGTAACTCTTTACTTTATGAATGTCCTGGAGGAAAAAAAAAAGGAAGCACTGTGTTCCTTATAGACAAGCCCAGATGGGAAAGGTAGTCCATATTTGGGGAACAAGGTTGAGTGATGGTCGTGGCAGTTGAATTCATATTGTGTGATGCTGTGGTTTATTTAATGTAATGCTTTTGGCAGCAGAAGCCAAAAGCATTACAGATGAACAAGTTATCCCAATCAGTCTAGTGGCTCTACAAATATGGGAGATTACAGATTATCAGAGTTGGAAGGGACCTTGTAGGTCATCTAGTCCAACACCCACCCACCCCTGCCTAAGCAGGAGACCCTACACCATTTCTGACAAAGGGCAGTTTGTCCTTATTTCCAGGTTAAATCTATCCTTGTTCAGTTTCCATCCTTGTCTGGCCTACAGGTGCCTTAGAAAATAGCTTGACCCCTTCCTCTGTGTGGCAGCCTCTCAAATATTGGAACACTGCTGTCATGTCTCCCCTGATCCTTCTCTTCTCTAGACTAGCCATGCCCAGTTCTTGTAACCATTCTTCATATGTTTTAGTCTCCAGTCCTCTAATCATCCTGGTTGCGCTTCTCTGCACTTTTTTCTAGAGCCTCAACATCTTTTTTACAGTGTGATGACCAAAACTGGATGCAGTACTCTAGGTGTTGTCTTACTAAGACTTTATAGAGTTTTGGAGATTTGGATGGAATTCTTAATGATATCCATCCTATCCTTCCCTCTTCCCAAAATGAAAATCTTGCATTTTCAGATACATTGTATTCCAAGGACAGCTTCAGCTTCTCTCTGATCAATGGGGAAGATGAGTACTGGAACCAGCATGCACAAGCCACCCAATTGGTGTCAACTGACATAGAATATTCTAGGAGCTCAAGTGGTGAGCCATTCAGAAACACAGCCAAAGTAGAAACAGAAGAGGGGAGAAAGCAGGATCAATGGAAACATAGGGGAACCAAAGGTTTCCAGAAATACTGAAAATTAGCAAACTCCTCAGCAGGTAACCTGACTGTTTGCAACAACCCTGGAAAACGGAAGTTGAGTGGGGAACTTCATGTATCCCAGAGAAAAGCACACCTGCCATCCCGTCACTTGTGCAATCTTCAAGGAAGGTGAAGATGGACTACAACACTGTGTTTTGGCGGTAGAACCAGGTCTGTAACCTGCAGCCTTAATCTTCAATACAACCCCGCTAGATACAGAGCTTTTCACGCATGCATGTTCTCCACCCTCGCCCTCGGCTCTTAGAGCTGCCCATCTATTCAGCACAAGCGTGGCCTACGCCCCTCAAGCCTCGTCGGAACCCACTAGTGGGGCGCATGCGTGCTGCAACTTCCACTTCTCCCCGTTCCTTCGCCGATTCTCTTCCCCCCCCCCCGACCTTTCCAAAATGGCCGAAGATGAGGGCCGGTCAGCTGTTTTAGCCCCGCCTCCTTCCGGCCTTTCCTCCCAATCCCGCTGGCCAGCCGAGCGCAACCTCGAGCGGCGATTGGCTCCCGCGAGTGTGGCGGAAGCTGGAACACTCGGGATCCTAGAGGGGCTGAGCGCAGAGGAAGAGGAGGCCCGGCGAGGAATGTGGAGAGCCGGCATGGCTGCCGGGGAAGGCCTGCCGCAGATGCTCCGGGCGGTCCGGGAGCAAGTGCAGCAGGCGGCGGCTCGGAGGCCCCAGGTGCTGTCCCGGGACGAGGGTGGAGGGCAGGACCCGCCGGGGCCTACGCTCGCCTGAGTCGGGATGGGCATCACTGAATCGGCCCTGCGCTTGGACTTCGCAGTGGGTGCTTTGGGCTCCTCCGCGGTCGGAGCGGCGGGACTCCCCGCGGACCGTTGATGGACGCCTTCCAAGGCTTGGGGACTACAACTCCCATAATCTTCAGAGGCCGCCCTGGCTGGGAGGCGTAGTCCCCGAGCCTCTGGAGTTCCTCGGGCGGCGAAAGGCGGGATCAGCTGCGAGACTGTTAACCTTCCAATTGCTTCAAATCCAAATCCTGTGTGGGAGGAGGTCCTTTCCCGACCCACAGATCTGATTCAAAAGGCTTTTTTTTTTTGTAGCCGCAACTACTTTCATCCCCGCCCGGGACTGGTGGAGAGAAGGACGGCATGCAAATATATTTATTTATCGGATTTATATCCCCCTCCTCTGACTTTTGCGGGGCGCCAGATGGCTTGCAATACAATAGATAAAATGCACGATCTATTTTTTTAAACCAACTAATATGTGTTACTCTTAGCTTCATGCTTACCACAAAATAGAACATATAAAATGCACAATATGAAAATGTTTAAAAGTTTGTATGCATTTATCATTAGCAGCACGAGAATGCATAAAAGACACAATATAAAAAATAAGTTGATATATTTATTATTATGAAATGATTAGCTGTGTGAAGAATGGCTAGGCTGATATCCAGGTTAAATAAGGTCATGGGGAGAGAAGGTAGCCAACCTGCCTTCTGCTGCCTTTTCCCCCATTCATTTCAATTTAAAGCCTAGCTGTTCTGTGCATCTGATGAAGTGAACAGCAGCTCTCAAATGCTTTTGCCTTTTAGTTCAATGTTAGTAGGAGAAGGGGCTCCCAGGCTTCTGAGTTTTTAATCCAAAACCTAACTCTCCAATAATAAGTTCCATTGTGTTTGGTCAGACTTGTCCTGAGTGAAAGGGGTGAGGCATCTAAAGATGCAGAATCCTTTTGTCTGTGAGAACGTCCATTCGATTTTAATGCATTCTTTAAGGTGCCATAAAGCTGTTGTTTTTACATGTTATTCATCACTATGGTTAGATAAACCGAATATAGGAAATCCTTGACAACTTGGTTTTTATCCAGCAGGCTTGGGAAATCCTAGAGATAGGGTAGCCTGTAAGATGGGCTCTGATCTGTTCACCCATGTATTCATTTTATTTGTATTATTTGTGATTAACTTTTGTTTAACTAGTGGCTTATTGTATACCCAGAGATGAGTAGCTATATAAATCCAATAAAGAATGAATTTGCCTTGTTCCTGCAGTATGCAGTCTGGTCCTCTCCATGTCCTTTGGATTGTGTCTGCCCCAACATTGCCAATGAATAAAGCTTGTAGGAGTGATCCAAAATGTGAAAGGGAACCAGGTTGCCTTTTACCTGATATGTTGATGGATCTTTAGTGATTGCTTTCCACATTTCACTTACCAAGCTTATCAGAAAGCCTGTATATTCTGCTCATATTCTTTTTTTTCTTTGCAAATGCAGACCTTACCTACCATACCACCTCGTTTGGTGGCTGTCAGTAAAACCAAACCAGCAGAAATGGTCATTGAAGCTTACAATCATGGGCAGCGCAGCTTTGGAGAAAACTATGTGAGTACCTGGCTTAATCTAAGGTTGAAAGACAGGAAGAAATGAGGCATGAGCCCAGTCTAATTGATAAGATGGGATGAGACAAGATAAGATTTATTGTAATTTTTTACTGTGAGCACACTGGCATACATTAAAAATGAAATTGTCTGCTCTCAAAAGAAAGTATATCTATATCCCTACACATACATAACACATACTATATACATACATGCGCACACACACCTCAAAGGTTGAGGTTATAAAAGCAGTTAAAATAGATTTGAGTACTTCACAACAGATATGAGAATCTTCTTATGCTGCAAATGGATCAGAGATCATTATAGAATCTTTCATTTTGTGATTTACCTGGTAGAGTTGATACACATGGAAAATTATGTGTTATTCTTCATTTTATGATTTACCTACCAATATGTAGTAGTATTGATACATATCCGAAGTTAATTTGTTTTTATAACCCTAATTCATTTATTCAAGCAAATAAGATAGGGTATCACACTTCTGTTGGATGTATATGTACAAAGATAGGACAAATAAGCAGGTGGTGACACCATGCATAGTTTGGGCAGAAATTTCTTCTCTTTCCTGTACTTACTTTTCCTAATGCTCTTTATCTTGCATTATCAATTATAACAGTCTGCATGAAGTAAATGAAAATAAACTTTAAAACCTTAATTGGATGTTTTTATTTTCCGTAGGTCCAAGAATTATTAGAAAAGGCATCAGATTCCAGAGTAAGTAGGGGTATGTGTATTTATTAGATCAAAATTTCAAGTAGTCTGTATTCTGATCAATGTAGAACATACCATTGTTGGAATAAATGATACTCATTTGTTCTGCAGATGATTCCTCCCTATTGAAATTTTGCAGCTTAGTCTGGATCTAAATAAGAGACCTAGAACTTGAATAAGGTAGTTCTTTGTACTTGAAAGCCCTAGTAATTGGAAACAATTTTCTCATCTGGATTGTTCTGGAATCTGGTCAGTGTGATTAACAATGGTGATTAAGTAAAGTTAAACATGAATGCATAGTAACAACAATACACACACACAACTATAAGAGGTTGGTTTGTTTGCCTTTGTTTGAAAATTGCAATTGTTTTGTGACTTATAACCCTGTGTATCTTTATATAGCAGTTTTGATGGATAAATATAAAATAATGCCATTAAGTTTCAAGCCAGAGTAACACATTTCTTGTTGTCTCTATCTCAGATTCTTTCTTCTTGTCCGGAGATTAAATGGCATTTTATTGGCCATCTGCAGAAGAATAATGTCAACAAGCTAATTGGTAATTATATGTGCTTTTAGTACTGATTTAAGAGGTGGTAGGAGAAAAACTTACTATAGCAAGAAAGGCCTGATGTTCAATTTAAAAATGTCTCACTTTGCTTTGGAAGGTCAGATTATGATGTGTATGTTTATTTTATTTTTTTATTAAATGTATGTACTACTCATCTCACTATCAAGTAACTGTGAATTAGTTAATTGAATGGGGGGATGAAATAAAGCTTAGGAAATGTTAGTGATCAGATTGTATTAGGTAATGAACAGTCCATTCTCTCCTTTCTTCTGTGCAAATCTTCCAATCCTAAGAATCTATGCCTTATTGTATTTAATTATTTTGTGCCACCTATGTAAATGATGCTTAATAAATGATAATATGACACGTGTATCCAAGGGACTTCTAGAATTGATGCAACAAAATAGGTAGTGGGAAAATGCATAGAATTTTGAACAGGCAGGGAATAAACATACTGTTGTGGCCCGTCGGCAGCTAGCTGAGCTGGCAGCAGAGTCAGACACAGAAGGTTGGGGAGGAAAATGGGCCAGACCTGGAGGCTTAGGAAAGCTTGGATGAGGGCTCTGCATCAGAGGCAGAGATGGGGCCAGGCAGACTGGCAGTTATCAGCTGCCTTCAGAGTCGGACAGCAATGAGGCAGGGGAGCAACTGGAGCTGGTTCCCAGCCTGCGCATGCGCAAAGCTGCCAAAAGAAAAGAACAATTACGAAATAAGGGTCGATGTGGGAGTAAGGCCACAGGTGAACAGTCCCTCCCATAGGAATTAGGAGAAGAGCAAAAGCGGAGGGGGCTTTTGCAGAAAACAGTTTGTTCATTTGTTGCAGCAGTGTGGAGATTACTGCATCTCAGAGACTGCCAAGCCCTTCCTTGTCAGCACTGCATTTGAAAATATTTACTTGGCAGCTCTCCAGCCTAGATAAGGTCTGTGCTCCTAATTAGACCCTTAAAAGACTGTTTACCAGGTCTTTGGCTGAATGTGAATGCAAGAAATTCACCTTTGTTTAATAAAAGGGGTTTTACTGGGACAAAAAGTCTGCTTAGTGCTTTTTGAGGAAGCCTAGATCAGAACACATACAGCCAATTCACTGGACTACATTAGTCTAATTTTATGTATTTTAAGTATCAGTGGGAGCAAATCCTCTTCCACTTTCAAAATTTATTAACCACTTACTATGAGTGAAAATTTAATTGAAAGAGGGATTCTGCAAGGGTACATAAGATAGTATTATATTAGAAATAGAAATGAACTTAGAAAATATGAAACAAGTGTGATTAAAATGATAGATAAAATACTCATTGTAATGGAATGGAATGTTTGTTAATAAATAAATGAAATAAAGAGAATGAGAGAATGAAATTAGGAAAGGATGGGAACATTTTAATTATTAATGAGTTATAAAAATTTAAGTGAAGAGGAATATGAAAGAAATATGGGAAAATTGTGGAAATATTATAAGTGTTCCTAAGGAAGTATGATATCCCATTGAAAAGAAATGTTAAAGATGTTAAAGATTGTAACTAACATTAATGATAGAGCTGAATTGGAATACAATAAGCATTTTATTTATTATTGTTATATATATATATATATATATATATATACTTTCTCTTTAAGAACCTAGTGTGTATTTAAGAATGTACCAAGCAGAATTTGACTGGAAGTTATGTGTTATATTGAATGTTATAATTGTAAAGGCATAAATTGAAGTTTAAATGAGAGTTGAATGGACAAAAATTAAAAGATACAAAGGTGTCATACTCCAATCAGTAACTACAGGGGAAATATTGTTTAATGAGAAAAGAAAATATGAAATTGAAACAGGACAGACAAAAATATAAATACAATGATTAGAAAGATATTGAAACTTAGAAAAAGATATATATATAATTGAATTTAGAAAAGAATGAGATAATTTAAAGCAAGGTTGAGAAAACTAAGGGAAGGGAAAAATTATTGAGAAAATGTTAAAATAGTAATAAGATATGGAATAGAACACAAAGATGAATATGAAATTGAGTTTGTGTCCGTATGGAGAAGTGATAACCCAGGACCATGCTATTCTCAAAAAAAGATATTTTATTTGTATTATGTTTTGTGAAAACCCAAATAAATTTTTTACAAAAAAACCTTATTAACCACTTACTAATGAATTTAGGAATAATAAGGTATATTTCTCAGCAGGGTCTGCATGGCTCGTGGAATTTTGAAAGTTGAAGTCCACATGCCTTAAAGTTGCCATGGTTGAGAAACATTGGTCTAGTGTATGTCACAAATTATATTTGCTAAGACCCATTTTATTTGTTTTAGTGGTGCCAAACCTATTTATGCTGGAAACAGTGGATTCCATTAAACTGGCAGATAAGGTGAACAGTACTTGGCAAAAAAAGAACTCTTCTGAAAAGCTAAAGATCATGGTGCAAATAAACACCAGTGGAGAAATGAGTAAGTAGACCAGGTGTTGTTCTTCCACACATGAACATGGCTGAGTCATGATAAGGTTTTGGCTGCTTTGTCCACTTGACTATAATGTCAAGAAGCTCATTTTTGAGAACTGGCTGGAGAGAATGGACATCTACATTTTGCAGAGTTTGGCAGGATATCTGTAAAAGACATGGGCCTACAGGTATACATGCACAGAACCTTACAATGTTTGGATTTGAAATCACTTGGAAAACCTATACCCCCAACAACTTTACTTATGGGCTTCCTTTTACAGATACCTCACCAGTTGTATTGAGATAATTAAATGGCTAGCAAATGGCCTCAAGGTCATTCTCTATGAGTATGGAGGAATAGTGTTTCATTAGTTTTAGATAAAGAATCTATCTTGCCATAATTGTGAATGCATCTTGCTAGGGGTATCTTCCTACAAAGAACTCCTCCCACAGAAAGTGCATTGATATGTTCTCTTTTAAAGGTAAACATGGGCTTCCCCCGGGGGAACTAATCACAACGGTGGAACACATTCTTCAGAAGTGTCCCAGTCTAGAATTTGTTGGCTTGATGACAATTGGAAGCTTTGGGCATGATCTCAGTAAGGGTCCCAATCCTGACTTCCAGGTGGGTGAAATTTTGAAAGATAATACTGGTAGGCAAATCTTGGATTTTAAGGGAAAAAATTGAGCTATGTTCTTTTCCCCCTTCCCCAACTTCTCTCTCCAGTTGTTAATATCTCTGCGTCAAGAACTTTGTGAAAAGCTCAATATCCCAATTGGAATGGTTGAGCTGAGCATGGGGATGTCTACAGACTTTCAACATGCAGTAAGTCTGTTTGTCACTTTTGCCAAAGATTTTGAGAAACCTTTTGACAGTGTCATCTTTCCCATTGAAGGAAGCTACTGGAGGGTCTAGATAATCTTTCCTAACCTCCTAATTATCAAACTGTAAATGAATAGACTTATTTCCAGCTAAATGGAATGGTCCATCTATTCCATTGTTATCTAAGGAACAGTTAAACGTGGACCAGAAAGTAGGCAAGTACTTTCTCTTTGGATTTATTCAAAGAAAAGTTAAGCATCATCCGCTAGAATCTCTCATTCAGAACCCTTATCATCTGAATTTGGATGGTTTTTGGTAGGGATGCAAAGCATGTAATTTACCACAGAACATAAATTATGGTAGCTTCCATAATGGCTTATCCGTTAGGATAGATTACGGGGAGCTGTAGTTCAAAGATAGCACATCTCCATATTCAGAAGACCAATAGGCATCTCCTATTAGAAGGACTAGATATCGGTAGAAATCCTTAAGTCCTGAGATCATGGTGGGTAACGGCTAGACAGTACCGGCCAGATACACCAGATGTGCTCCTATAAATCAGCTTGTGTGGATTCAGACATTTTTATTGGAATAGATGTTTTCTACTATTGCCATTTGATCAGTGGGCCTGTGAGGTGGGCTCTCTCGTTCCATTCCACCAGTTGCCTAAAACCAGTGTTTCTCCACACTAGCCAACGATAGGTGTGCTTCAGAACCCAGAATTCTGAGTTGCGAAGGTTGGGGATCTCCATTCTTGCTCCAGATTCCTAGCTGAGGGTTACTTCAGTTCATGTCACGCTCCTAACGGTGGTTCTTTCTCTCACCTTTAACTCTGCACAGATAGAAGTGGGGTCTACCAATGTCAGAATTGGAAGCACCATCTTTGGAGAGCGCAGCTACCCCAACAAACCTGCTGGTGACAAAACCCAGAAGGAGGTCAAAGACAGTTTGGAGAGTTTGACTCTTAAGGAGAATTAATAGCAGAGGCCTAAGGGATTCCCTCTGTTGGAGAGAATCTGCTTGGATACCCAGGCACTTGACTCTTCCTTTGTGTTGATGGCAGTGGAGCACTAGCAGGTAATTGGCAGGTGTGACAGGGACTTCAGCACCTATACCTTTATTCTTGTATATCCATTGAGGTTGCATTTATAGGGGAAACAGCAGCACCTGTGATTGGCTTCAGTACTTTAACTGCAGTGACTTAAACTGGACTTGGTCTGGGCAGAACACCCTTTCCAGGAGTGGCCATGATGCATTTCTAATCAGGCATGTTTCTGGTTTGCTTCCCCTTGAAGCAAGGTTGCCTTAGGGAAAGGTTATTCCCCACCCCACCCCTCTCTCAAAGCTTTTATGGTTCAACTTCTGTGCTTCATCTGACCTGACGCATCTTTGCTATCTTTAATCTTTTCTGTGACATTTCAGAAAACATGCTCAGATTGGGTGGCTTGCTAAGCAGCCCACAGGGGAAGGATAGATAGGGATCCCAATATACATCAAACCTACCCCTGGATCTGAGATTTGGAAGAGATTGCAGCTGAAATTGTTCTCTGACTACCAGTATTAATACTGCCTACTAGCTCTTTGCTGTACCATTTGCTCTATAATGTAGGGTTTTTGTTGTTTGGGGGGGTGGGGGTGGGGGCTTTCCCTTTATTTGAATCAAGTAAAGTTTGGAATAATTCTGATAGGAAGCAGGATGTCTCTGCTTGTAAAAGCCAGGAAAGCTGCTGGCTCTGCCGCCAACATGCAGGGTGATCTCTTAACCGTGCTGTGCCTGATCCCTTTATGAGAAACGGGGCTGACCTACCTCATGTGGCAAATTGAGGGGTGGCTGGGTGCGAAACCTCTCCCCCTCGTTATTATCATTCCATAGGAAAGAAAATAATGGTTTTCCAGGGCAAACTTTGGAATTCCTGCATTTTAATGCAAAGCTCTCTCTTTCCAGGTTTGATGTCTGGAGTGTTAGTAAATGATAATGGGTTGTATCTCCACTGTATATATTTTGCCCCCATCTTTAAAAAGTACACCTTGACTAAAGTCTTATTGAAACAGAATGCATTGCTAAAGATCCATCGGAATATTCATCCTTCCTTCTGAAAACCCCAGTTGGTGAAAATGTTTACCGTGGAATCTGTTTTGTAACTCACATATTGACAATCTACTTGAAAGCCTGGCCTCATGCTATAAGTGATCTTGGCAGAAATATGTGTGAATTTTTAAAAAAAAATATCCTCTCCTTTTTTCTCTGTAGCAAAATGCTTCTAGCTCTGTGCATCTCTGGAATAGTTAAATGGTGTATCTTTGAGCCCATTGCGATATAAAACACATGCTTGACTCATAGAAAGCTCCAGATTTAACCCCACATCTCCCACAAATAAAAGAGTAGCAGATTATGAGTCTGAATTCTACTTGGCATTTTCAACACTCAATAGCAATCGTAGAATGCATTGGACTTACCAGGTGAGATTCCTTATCCAGGTAAAAGCCAGGTCCTTTATTTTTAATTTTGGGAGTCACTTGATTGTTCTCATCTTGGACTTCATCTATATGCTACTAAAACTCTCACATCTGATTGATTGTAAACTTCAAATGGGCAAAACGTTGCATTCATAAGGCAACAGTTGTTGAATCAACGTTCCTCAAACAGGTTATCTTACAGAATGCATCCAAAATCCAGGAGCCTGTGAGCTTCCTACAAGGAAAGTCAGTGGGGAAGCCAGCAGGAAGTCAGATATCACTCCCAGGTCCTTCTGCTATTTTGTCTGCTCATGGTCATACTATTTCTGTGTTTAAGTGAAGAAATAGCTCTGAAATGGTGATCCAACAGGGTTCTCTGGTTCTTATATATAACTGCAAGGTACAGAACATCCTGCTAGCCAGTCTTTTACAGTGCAGGTGCAATGCAAAATGCAATCCAAACTGACCTATCCCTGAGCTCCCCCAATCTTTTCTTTCTCTTAAAAATAAAACTAGTTGTGAATCAAAATATTATGCTACTTAAAAAGCTATTAAAGATATATTTTTCCTTTTTCTGTCCTGTGGTGATATGGATGCTTTGAGCAGAGAGTCATATGCATTGGCTTGGATTTTTATTGCCACATCCAGGACTTTTGTTTTGGTGTCTGGTGGGAAGAGTGCAGTTCAGAAAGTCTATTACTAAGGGAGGATTGTCTGTTGCTCTAAGAACAGCACCGAGCTAGGTTGACATAGAGAAGGTGGGCAAGCAGATGGCACTTTTGAAGAATGCCAAGAAGTCAGTAATGGATCTTCAGGTACCTGGTGCTCCAGTTGCCACAGGCTCAAAAAATGGATTGCAAGCATCCTTTTCATAGACTCTTGAGATCATATTCCTAAGACTGGGCTGGTCCCAAACAATTATTTTTCACATATTGAGTGAGAAATAGCAGAGGGGCAATAGGGTGCCTTAAACCTTGCATTTTCTCCTTGACCTCGCTATCCATCCCCAAAAGTGGTCCTGGCCTTGCCAAATATACAGTCAGCCTTCAACTTATAATAGTTCATTTTCTGACTGTTCAAAATTACAACAGCACTGAAAAAAGTTTACATGTGGATGCTTGACAACTGACTCACATTTATGACGGTTACAGTGACCCAGAGTTATGTGATCCCCTTTTGCTGCCTGACAAGCAAAGTCAATGGGGAAGCCAGGTTCACTTAACAAAGCTTTGTGCAGCTCAGAAGCCCTCAAATACTGCATCCATCTGCCCTGCAGGTTTTTAGTTCAGAGTGAAGTACAGGTAATTCCTGCATTATGAGCGTTCTCTTAGCGAACGTTCGAAGTTACACAAAACTATGAATCTTCGAGCAGCACAGCAGTTGTTCGCCCTTATGAACAACCACGGAGGCTCTGCAACATTAATCCATTTCAGCCTGCAATAAGCCAAGGGAGGTCCACAAAAGCTAGGACAGAGCATCGGAGAGGCGCATCTACCCTCTGGAAGCTCTGTTTTGGCCCAAAAAATTCCAGAAAAGGAAGGCCGCACATGGCTGAGAGGCTGGAGAGGAGACTGCTGGCTAGATCTTCACAAGGTAAGTGACCTGGCATGGCAGGGTGGGTGGATGGGGAGAAACAATTGTGGGGAGCATGAAATATTTCAGTGGGTTGGGGAGGCCTTGAGTGGTCTTAGGCAGGTGGCCAGTTTCATCACTAGCCCCCCCCCCCCCCCCCCCCCCCCAGCCTTCCCCAACCTGAAATACCTCATGTGCACTTAACAAACCGCACATTCGATTAGAGCCGTGATGGGTAGGCTCCATTACATTCATAACTCAAGGACTATCTGTACAGGTAGTCCTTACAACCACAATTGGGATCAGAATTTCCATTGTTAAGGAAGGAAGTGGTTAAATAAGTGGCAGTTTTATGACCTTTTTTGCCATTTATAAGCAAATCACAGTAGTTAAGTGAATTGTGGTTAAGTGAACCCGGCTTCCCGCATTGACTTTGCTTCTTGGAAGCTGGCTGGGAAGATCACAAATGATCACATGATCCCAGGACACTTCAGACATCATAATTAAAACTATTGCCAATCCCCCAAATTTGGATCACATGAAGACAGGTGTAAGTGTGAGGACCAGTGGATATGGTTGTAAGTGTGAGGACCAGTGGTAAGTGACTTTAAAAAGATGTTGAGACTCTAGAAAGTGCAGAGAAGAGCAACCAAGATGATTAGTGGACAGGAGGCTAAAAGATATGAAGAATGGTTGCTGGAATTGGATAAGTCTAGTTTAATGAAAAGAAGAACTAGGGGTGACATAACAGTGTTCAATATCTCAGGGGTTGCCACAGAGAAGAGGAAGTCAACCTATTCTCCAAAGCACCTGAAGGCAGGACAAGAAGCAATGGATGGAAACTAATAATGGAAAGAAAACCTAGAACTAGGGAGAAATTGTCTGACAGAACAATTAATCAGTGGAACGACTTGCCTCCAGAAATTGTGAATGCTCCAACACTGAAATTTTTTAAGAAGAGATTGGACAACCACCTGTCTGAAATGGTATAGTATTTCCTATCTGAGCAGGGGGTTGGACCTTCAATGTCCCTTCAACTGTTATTCTATTATTAAACTAGTCGAGGACTGCCTGTACAATCTCTCAAAAAATCACGCTGTTGCGTTCAGAGTTCTTTCATTGTTTGCAATTTTCTTACACAAAGCAATCATCCTTGGGTAGGAACTGTAGATTGATAGGCGATATTTCCCCATCTTCTCCAAATTTCAAAGGAGAACTTGTGTACACTTGTGTGTATTCTTGTGTGATGGGTTCTTGTGTGCATGTGTTTAAAAATCCTGGGAAACTAGAATGAGTCTGTAGGTGGCACCATTGGTTCATTCTCAAAGAGCAAGAATGCAGGGCATATTATTGTCAACTCTATTTCTGCTTCAAAAAGTGGAAGTATGCCAGAAAATTGAATTTCAGAGTTTTTTTTTAAGTGTTTGTTGTTCACTGTGTATGGAGCACATATCCATTGATAAGAATAAATCATTTATCAGTGATAAATAATCCCAAACTGGTATAGCAGGGAATTTGCTTTACCATAGCTGCCCTAAATGAAGTGAAATAACTGGAAAGCTAAAATCCACAAAGGTATTCTTCAGATACCTTATAAATGGATCAAACGTGAAGTATTAGTTCCACTTTGTAAAACTTTTGTAAGATCACACCTGCATGCAGTTCTGGTCTCCTAAATACAAAAAAGATATTGAGACTTTGGAAAAAGTGCAGGGAACAGCAACTAAGGTGATTTAAAAACCTAGAGACTAAAATACACGAAATACAACCATATTGGATATATTTATTTTTTATTCAGCGTATGGCAAATACATGGACTTAAAGTGGTTCAAATGTTAATGTCCAGTCCACCCAGCCATACAGGGACAGGGTGATCTATGTTGAAAAAATAAGACATTGGGTCAGTGTAAGCTCTTGATGGAACATTTGGACACAGTGTGATGGATATTATGTTGAGGAGCACCACAGTCACACTGAGTGTTAGAGACAAGACCCCACTTAAACAATGAGTCCTGGCAGACACCATGTTGAGTACGGATCCTGGGTATGATGAATCTATAAACCAGGAACTGGGTATGGCTAATCTATAAAAAGGACAAGGGGTAACATGATAGCAGTATTCCAGCATTTGAGGGGCTGTCACAAAGAAGAGGGGGTCAACTTATTTTCCAAAGCATCATCCAAGAAACAATGGATGGAAACTAATCAAGGAGATAAGCGACCTGGAATAGAGAGGAAGCTTCCTAACTGAGGACAGTGGATGAGCTTACCTTCAGAAGCTGTAGGTGCTTTATTGCTGGAGGTTTTTATGAAGAAACTGGACATCCACTTGTCTGAAATGGTACAGAGTTTTCTGTGTGAACGAGGTTGGACTAGAATATCTTCAAAGTACCTGCTAGCTCTATTATGACTAAAAATATTGGCTTTTCAAAGCAGCATTCTTGCACCTATAGAAGATGCATTTCTTTGGTATATTGAGAACAACAGGCTAATGAATTAGAAGCAATAGTTTTGTGGAAATCCCACCCCTGCTATAATTTTAGAACAACCCAGTGAGCTAGATGGTGGATCCATTAGTCTCCAGTGAAGTTCATAGTAAAGTAGGAATTTGAACTCAGACCATGGGTATTAGTTGGACACCATAACTATTACATAGAGGAAGTCTACATATGTTGCCCTCTGGATATTCTGAACTTCAGCTCCACCCGGAATGGAATTGTGGGATTTGTACAGTAATTCAAACTATCCAGAAGGTGGATCATCCTTGCATTACCAAAACAAGGACTCTACTAAAGCGGCCAGAAAAGCTAATGCAGTCCTAGGTTTCATCAACAGAGTTTTAAGCACAATTGTCTCGAGGAGAAAGGAATATATGGAGTCTATACTTTTGAAATAAATAAATAATAAAAATAGTAATTGTTTCACGGAGGAATGTATAGAGTGAGTTTCATCCTCTGCTTTTGAGAAAGGAAAGAAGAAATCAGGAAGGAAAAAATGAAAAAGAAAAAAATAGTTTTGAGGAGAGAGAGGAATATATAGACTCTCACCCTCTCTGCTTTTAACCACATCCAGGAAACAAAAAAGGTGATTATTCTAGTTCCTGGATTAAACCGAGAAAAATTCCTTGAGAGTTTAGTTTCTTCAGGTTTCAAGAAAGTACTTTGTCTGCCTTCGGCACCAAAATGGAGAAACTGTTTATTCAGTAGCTATTAGATTTCCTCTAGGAAAGCAACGTTGAAGCTGTTTTTATTGGCGGTAAGTTGAAGGATTTGGGCTGTAATTCTCATAGGGGCGGTCAAAACCTGTGTTTGGGCAGTGCTGCTTCCAACTACAAGTAAGTAGAGGCTCACATAACAGAATAATACTGCCCTCCCAAAACAAATAGGAAATCTGGTATGGGGGCACTCTTGTCCCCTCAGGCAGATGATAAATGCCAAAAGGCCACTGTGAGGCTGCACTTTCTGCCTTCTAAAATGGGAGCAAGGGGGAAAACAGTCTGGCCCCATCCATCACCCAGAGACAGGACAGCTGTTGCCATTCATATTTGTACCTTCCCCCCCCTCCCCTTTCATTTTTTTTCTTTTTTTACATTGCAAACCTATTAGTAGAGAGGGTTATCTTTCCATCAGTGTATCTTGATTAGAATTGCAAGCCCCTTTTCTCTCAGGGGTTATGTTTTAATAACAGAGAGAAATTTCTCCTGCAGAGGATTACAGATAGTCCTCGAGTTACAACCACAGTTGAGCCCAGAATTTATGTTGCTGAGTGAAAAATTTGTTAAATGAGTTTTGCCCCATTTTCTTGCCACTATTGTTAAGTGAATCAGTGCATTTGTTAAGTTAGTAACATGGCGGTTAAGTGAATCTGGCTTCCCCATTGACTCTGCTTGTCAGAAGTTGCAAAAGGTGATCACATGACCCCAGGACACTAACTGTCATAAATATGAACCAGTTGATAAGCATCTGGGGATGCTGCAACAGTCAGAAGCT